AACCTGTTGTTCTAGGCCAAAGCAATAGAAGTGATTGGAACTATTGGGACAATGTGCATAAATTGCCTCCAAGTCAAATGGCCTTCTTGAAATATGAAATGATACACCTCTATTTTCTTTTATTCTCTCCCAGGCTTTTGTAGAGCGAGGCTTAGAGACACTAGTCTGAATAGAAGGCTGAACCTGTTCACTGCCTTCACTGATGCAGTCATCCACCTTGAAAACATGTAACTCTGTTATGAATGCCTGTACCATTGACTTCCACGCTGTCCCATGTCAATGAGGGCCATGTTCACCCACTTCTTCTTAACTTATCATACAAAATTATCTGCTTCTATGGTGGTTACATATCACTGGGAGAGAGGATTTGGAGAGAAAGATAGGCAGAAGAAATTCTTTTCCAAGAAATCTACTACCCTTAAGTGCTAATAGGGAGGAGGGGCACATGCTGAGAGGCAAGGCTTGGTAGTGATGATCTGTTTTATTTACGTTGCTCATTTTTCACATTTATATAGTTCCAAACTGGCTGATGCCCTTGAGGCCACTTACACTAATTAAAAAAAACCTTGATGCAACTACAAAAGAACAACCAAAACAATACATGTGGCAATAAGTACCTAAATATGAAAACATTAAAAACACTAAAGAACCAGCAGTAAATGATCAGAGCAACAGATTAATGATTAAATTTCTGCTGGAAGAGGAACACCTTTACCTGGTACCTAAATGTATATAGTAAAGATCCCTGGTGGCTCTCCCTGGGAAGGATCTTCCATAAATAAGGGGCCACTACAGAAAAGGCTCTTTTTCTGATGGCCACTGATCACACCATTGTGGTTCGTGGCATCCAGAGATGAACTCCCAAGAGAGAGGTGTGGGAAGTAGTGGTGGGAGATGAAGCAGGAGAAAGACGAGAAAGCCGTAAATGAGACCGGAAGCAGGTACTCTAGGAGTGGAGTAAGCTGGAGGGAGCAGAAAGAAGGGCTGCCTCCCTTTTGATCTTCCTCCCACCCATCCCTGCAGTTTCACCAGGACCAGCCCTACCATGAGACAAGGGAGATGCTGGTGAGGTACTGGAGGAGATTTCTGTGTGCGCTGCACACACTGCCCTGTGCTTTTTAGCTGCTTTGCTGCCTTCTCTATAGAGGATAACTTGCCTCGTTGCCATTGTTTAAGTCAGATTTGATTGCCAGTCTGGCTGTTGGCTCTACATGGGATGCGGGTAGGGAATTTGTTTATTCTTTGCCTTAGGCAGAAAAATACCCTGGACCAACCCTGCAGTTCATGTGGGTTCCCTCTTCTGTCTTCTGTCACATAGGCCTTTACATCTGAGAAACTGTGATCCCATCTGACTCAGGCTGCCATGCCAGGCTGTTCATGATCTCACCATCCTTCCTTATATTAGGTGCTCTCATGCAGCTCTAAGTGAGGTGAGCCTGAGCCAGTTGGTTGCTCAGCATGCACCTTCCACCTGCTCTAGAAGATTGTTCACAGTCTTAGTCCAACCCTGTCAGTCAGCTGTTTTTCCTTGACTGCCCTCCCTTGCTTTACTCTACTGCACGCTTCATGTCCAGTGGGTCTTTCTGCCACTTAGAGTTAATTTATCTCATGCCTCTGTGCTATAATGAAATGTAGCTTTGCATATGTCATCTGGCTTAGGAAAAGGAGTCAGGATGGGAAGCTCAAAGAATGCACTGTTTACTTTGAGAGCAGAAATAATTTTTAAAGACTAATATGTCTGTCTCAGAGCTCTCCTCTTCAATTATATCCATAAATAAGCTGATATTACAAAAATGACATTCAGCTTCAGCACACTTTTAGCACAGAGAAGTACTAAAGTGCCCGTTGAAATGACTTGACAAACTATGGGAGTTTGAAACAATGCATGTTCATAAATTGCATGTGGTTTGGAGGCTTTGCTGAGAGCACCAGTGACCACTCCATTTTCTGTAAACTTTGGGTTTAGATATGTGAGCTCACTTGGCTTTGCGGGACAAGTGGGAAAAGACACTGTGATCCTGATGCACCATAAACATTTAATAAAATTATTTCAAACAAAAAACCCAGTTCTAGTGATGGTAAAGCCAAATTACCAAAGAAACACTGTCAGGCAGCAAGCCCAGAGGTTAAGTGTCCCAAGCTCCTTCACTGGAACAAATACGGTAACCCTGCTTGAAAAGATTAGACATCATTTTTGAGTTACTTAGACGGTCATTTCCATGTTCACTGCCCCTTGGGCCTTGGAAGGAACCTTAGTCTGTATTGCCCCAAGCAGCCTTCCCCACCTTATACCCCTCCCTTTGTGTTGGACTAAAATGATTATGGAGCATCCAGAGCACACAGGTGTTCTTAGCCTGCAAATATTTGCCATTCTGATTGTTTCTGGTGTTGTTTAGCTGCTTGCTTTATAGGAATCTTTCTCCTAAATTAATGTTTGTGATGTCTGGGTAACCAAGCCTTTTAAAACCAAGTCTCTTTAAAAGCTAAGGCTAGATATTGAGCAAGAATGCAATAAACAAGGAAGGTTACCATTATGCAAATAGCAAAACAGTGTAGAATTTCTCATGTACACTCTGTCAAGCCAACTGGTGCTTTGTCCTTGTGCAGGTGACATGACAGTCAATCATGTGCCCATTCCTCTCCAAGTGTAAAAAGCCCCCAAAACCAGGCCTTATTGACTCTCCTTTGGCGATGGGTTAGGGGAATGAAAGCCTGCCCTTGTAAACAGGTACAGAGAAGTAATAAAGCCCAGCAGGCCAAGATAACAGAATTTGTTCTAATTAAAATCTGTGTCCGGAAGAGCTCATCAAAGAACACTGCTGCCTGATATCTGTAATTTAATATTCTTTGTTTCTGTCAGTAGCGTTTGTAAGCGTACTAAAAGCTTATGAGGTAGGTCCTGTTGTAGATCTCGTTGTTCAAGTCTAGAGCTTCTGCACATTAGGGGGAATGAGCTGGTAAATTGAGGCAGTAAAATACTAGCCTGTGCCACTTTAGATGCTGTGTATGTCATTTTTAATGGTGTTCTTCCTACCCCCATGCAAAAACTTCTTTGCACATACTTAACGTGGCATTTCAAGAAAAGAGATATGCTCGACCTTTCTCTCTGGTCTGCTAATTGAATGCATCCACTGAGGTTGCCTCATCTGGAGGAAGAATACAAAATAGGAGCTTCTCCCACCTGTGTTCCGAAGTGGTACTGGCCAGCATTCTTCTGCCTCTCCTTCTGCGTACTGTGAAAATGGTCTCTTAGTGTTAACTTGCAGTTCCTGTAACAGGTATCATTCTTTTGCTAAATAGCTCTCATTCTTTTGGAAGATGACCGGAGGACACCCATTTTTGGCTGAAGCCCAGTTCCATGACACATTAAGAAATAACCCAAAGGCGTGATCCATTGGTCCCATTTCTAGAAGGCCCAATAGCCAAAGCTCTCTCGGTACTGACAAAGATTAGACTCACCACAATATAATGTAATAGCATAACATAAAACCAGTTATGTACAAAAATATATCACCTTTAAACAATCACAACAGTAAATCCCAGGATTAAAACTTTATCAAAACGTCTAGGTGTAGGGATGCATCTTAACCTGGTGCCCAGAATATGACAGTGCTGGTGCCAGATGGACCAGAGTGTTTCATCATTCAGCAGCCACCACTATGAAGACCCTTCCCTTGTTGCCATTCGCTGAACCTCCTTTGCAGGAGGACCTCAGATTATGATCATAAGATACAGGTACATTCATCCCAGAAGAGGTACTCTAGCAGGCATTTCCTTTTGAACTCAAATATATTAAGGTACAAATTTGTGAATAGGTCACAGTGCAGGGAATGGGATTTAAAAAAAAAAAAAAACCACAGAGAAAAGGAAATTATGCTGTGATTGGATGTCAACTTTACAGTCACTTGCAATGTTCCTGGAAGAGGCATCCCAAATTGATGGAAAGCTGGCACTTCTTCTCTCCCTCCCACCATTTCTTCTTTCAATGTTTCATAGCATCACTGGTGTGGTAGTGCTAGTCCCAATCCTGTAGCAGTAACATTGCAAATTCCTTCTGCAAGCTCCTGCACGTGCTGTAAAGCAGTGGCGTTCGGCTGCAGTTGGCCCTGTTCAAAGCCCACTTCTCAAAATATGCCATTGGCATAAAAATTGTTGAAGGTTCCAAAGCGCTGTTGCTGCATCGCTGTCAACAAACTGTGGCCATCATAGCCCTTGAGCAGGTGTCAAAAAGCAACTGTCTAGTTCCTGAAGTGTCATTAATGGACTGGCATAAAAAGGCCAGTATTAGTAATTCTCCCACCACCAAACTGTACTTTGCCCAGGTGTGAAGTGCCAAATCACAATTCTATTCATGAGGATGTTGATAAGTGTGTGTGTGTGTGTGTGTGTGTGTGTGTGTGTTTGCAGGGTGTGGGGAGTAGGTGAGCTGGGACCTTGAGCGAGGTTTTAGTCTGATTGGCAGGGTGATATTCCGAGGTTTCTGAGCTCATGTTTGTTTCTTGATGCCCACAGAATTGATGTGTTATATATGCAGCTTCCTTTTCATGAGAGCCGTCATTCTGATCCTATTTATACCAGTGGTCTCAGATCTGTATGGAGAAAAGCCCACAGAGGTTGAGATGGTATAAGATAACAGTACAAGGGATAGCAGCTCTGATGGCTTAACTCTCAAAACTGAGCAGTTACATGTAACTGTTCTACCTCTGTATTACATGTGGATTCCTAGAAAGTAGCCTGTTGTAAGTAGCCTTTCAGGCAGCAAAAATGAGCTCAAGCTTGCAAGTGTCCATTAGATGGTTATTTGTAAACTAAGCAAAAAGGGCTGTATTTTTTATTTGTGACATGCACGTGGGGAAATGCAAATGTTTTTGATCCCTGCTCCAGAGGTAGTGATGGAAGTGCTAGTTTTAATGTCTTAATTGATTGCTGGGCAAGGAGTAGGAAACACAAGAGCTGGTAAATAAGAAAACCTCTTTGCACACTCTTATTCCCTCTAAAAGCAAAGCCAAGTGCTAACAGAAATGGAACCAAAATTGGAGCCCCTGAAAAATGCAAAGGAGGTATGAAAACCTAAGGAGGCAAAAGAAAGAAAGGGAGGGGGGAGGGAGGGGAGCCCTATGAGAACTGAGCATGTTGAAAAAGAGAACTGGAAAACTGGAAGTAGAATTCTTTATATGAACTCCTTACAATACACAGAATCCTGGAGGAAGGCAGAATAGACAGGCTGAAGTCTTGAGCAAGAGAATGCTTAGTAGGAAGTGACGACATACTGAAAGTCTTTGTTACCAATCCTGTATTTCTTCATAGGTGTAAGTGCACACTTAAAAATACGAAGGCTGACTGCAACAAAGACATTTGCAGGCAAATTTATCATGCAGGTGCCCTCCTCTGAGGGTCATAGTTGGCGGTGATACATGGCAACAAGACTGGAATGGCTGCTTTGTGTCGTATGAAGCAAGCTGGCCCCTGTGGGTCTCAATTGATGGGGAAGGAACTAGCCCATTGACCCTCAGAAGACATTCATTCCTGGTTCATCATAGCAGGCCACAGTGAGCCTGGGGCTCATACCCTCCTTCTGCTCTTCCAGCACAGCCATTCAGCTTTGGCAGTTTTGCTTCAGAGCAAATATGGATTGTGCTGCTGGGTGCTCGAGTTAAGGGTTTGCATGCATTAGTTTTTCTGCCTCTGTTTTGTACTGCTCTTGCTAGTCCTGAGTGTACAGTAATATAGCATGTGCAAGCAGCCTACTAGGCTGTGCATGTTAACTTTGCAACCTGGGAAGAGCCTCTCTCCTCACCCTTTCTCTTCACCCTGTCAGTATCAGAGAGAGGGAACTTCAAAGAAAGAAAATAAGGTTCAAAGAAAGTAAGGACATTTCCTTAAGTGCATGAGGCATTGTGAAAGTGATAGATTTGCCTTTAGAGAACAAAAACACTTATTCTGGTGAGACAGAGAAGAGCTCATGGGAAGGTCAGAACAGGTCTCAGATGCAAGCAAGCAAGCGAAGAAACAAACCTTGGGCTTCAGCCTGAGTCTCTCTAATAAAGCATCTCAGAGAGTGGATTGAGGAGATATTCAGCTTCTCCCGGATGCTGAACAGAGGGCTGCTAGATGGGACAGATGGATCTTTGGCCTGACCAACTGCAAGGGAATTATATACATTCATGCATTCTTCTTTTTCTCTCTCTTTTTTAAAGTACTGTGGTTATATCTGTCCTTTAAACAGCTAATAATCAGTAATTAAATGCTAATTAATCCTTAGTGCTTACATAAGTGTAATTAACTAGTCATTAATAATTGTCAATATAGTGCACATACATGCAAGATGGGAGAAAGAGGCATCTGTAGGTATAACTTATCTTTCCTTGGGTCGTGCCAGATGTTTTGGAGTATACTATTCATCAACCTGTCCATTGCCATGGTGGCTGGGGCTAATAGGTGTTGTAGTCCAAACAGCCATGGGTCATCAGATTGGGGGAGGCTAACTAAACTTTTGCCAGTGGCTTTGACATGTATCTTCTGCTATCAAATGGTTTCAGATGTTGAGCAATGGTTTGACCAAGTGTTAATGAATCTTCAGCCAACAGACAAAGTGTACTTCAAGGTGAGCCTCCTGATTAATACGTAGTCCACTCCTCTTTGTGTTTTCCAGCCATAATGAAAGACAAAACACTTTTCTTCACCCAGTAACTGGTCAGATCCCAGAAGAAAACAACCAGTTTGACCTGCAAAGGTAAGTCTTCTCTACCATAGCTTTCCATTTTGAGCACAGAGTTCATGAAAAAGCAGAATGCAAGACATAGAAAAGTCAAGTGCTCAAACAGAAAGCAAATCGCTTTCCATTTATCCTAGAAATCCAGCTCATGGAAGAAAGGCAGGGATTTGCTGTAAAGCAATTTCTGGTGCATGTATAGGCATATTGACACAAAATAGATTCACCTCTTTTTGCAGCGGGCACAAAGAAGAGTCATTACTTTCAGTGAATTTTGAATACAGGCCAAAGTATGTGTATATATCCTATTGTGCATGAAGTAATATTATACATAAGAGGTAAAATAATTCCTTAGGACACTTTGTAATGTGCTTTTCTTCCCCTTTGCCTCTCATTCCCAGATCAGCATTGGACATGTCAAGCAAAGCAGGAAGCAAGCGGCCGGCAGCAGTTAACAGTGAATCATCCAATCACACCATGGTTTCAGAGGTACCTCAAGAACGACCAAATGGAAGGGTATGCTTAGTACAGCAGTGTGACTTTGCATGGAGGGCTTGATTCTTTTCCACTCTGTATGACTACGTTTTGCTATGCCCAAGTTATCTGCTCCTCAAAGTTCCCCATCTATAAATTGGTGACTACAATCTTGAATCCCCATTATACAACATTGTGTGAAATAGGAAAAGATACATGATGACAGCTGAAAATAAACATCAGAAAACAAACAGGCTGCTTTGCCTGTTCATGGAAATATTGCTGGCAGTGGAACTTCTTATCTTAAATGGTGAATATGGCCCAATGGGAGAGACATTGATTTAAATGCATCATCACCAAGGGTCAGTTTGGTTCTCCTCAGCACTGTACCCAAGCCAATGGCCTGGCCTGATTCACACACAACTGTAACCTAGAATTTGTAGCTCAATTGCTCCCATTTAGATCTTCCTGCACTCCACATCTGAACCCAGAAGTTTGGCTGGTCTTCCTCATGACAAGTTAGAGGTGGAACCCAAGAATGAACACTGAGTTCCACTCTGGCTTTTCAGGGGAGAGAAGCCATAGTTACAGGTTCAGGTGTCACTGTAGACAACCCTGGAACAGAAGATCTAAACAACCCACAAGAGAGCTTCTCTGGGTTGTTTAGCAGGAGGAACCATGTGGAATTGATCAAACATGAACTAGCATGCCAGCTAATTCATGATAGTCCAGGGTTTTTTTTAAAAAAAATTGGCTTACTGTTACCTGCAAATTGGCCCTATGTTTGCTTGTGCTGTTTCTTCTGGAACTGACTACATTTTCTCAGGGATTTGTGAAGGGAATCTGTGCACTCCATTGCATCCACTGCTGTTTCTTTTGGGAGACTGTTCAGTAGTCTGTCCTCTCCAAAGCTTTCTGTTTTCTTTCTCAAAGGCCTCACGCTCCTCCAGGAAGGGGATTGCTTTTGGGAAGCGTTCCAATTCCATGAAGAGGAACCCCAGTGCTGCAGTGGCTAAGAGTGGCTGGCTCTTCAAGCAGGTGTGTAGCCCAGCTCCCATTCTGTGCCCCTTCCTCACAAGCTGCTTCTCCTTTCCCTCCAGTATCACAGCTGAACCTGCTTTTCTCTGGACAGCCAAGAATGGGCTTCTTGCAGAACCTTGCTCTTCTATTTCTACCACATGGCTTTCCTTGGGGCATTACAAAGTTTGCTGTCGAGTATGCAATCATCCATCCATCCATCCCTTTTCCCATAATGAACTCCATGTAAAATCTACAGATGGACTGTCTGACATACATTCAGCCTGGACTTTTGTCTTCCAGTCCCTCCTCCTTCCCTCCCCGCCCCGCACACAGATATCATATCATTTCAAAGACCTTCCGAATTTGTTCTTCTGTCATATCCTGCTTGGAAGTCCCCTAAAAAAATCCATGGCTCTATTACTTCTTCTGAGTTTGGTACCATTCACGCTTTCTCCTTCTGGGAAGTTTTGGGAACATTGGCACCTATCTATTATATGTAGTGTTGCGCATATCGTATGACATTTGCTTGCTTTCATTGTCTGCTTGCAGGCTAGCTCTGGAGTGAAGCAATGGAATAAGCGCTGGTTTGTACTGGTGGATCGCTGCCTCTTTTATTACAAAGGTATGTAGCAGCAGCAAGGTCTGAAAACACTACATAATGCTGAAGATGTTTAGGATTCCCTCCAGTTGGCAAAAATGCTTTCCAAGCAGCACCTAGAAGGCGTGACTTTATTCTAGGGGAGTGCAGCTGGAGCCTGTCCTCCTCTTTATGCCTGGGTCTTTCCCAGTGGAACTGAGCTACATTTTTTCCTGGTATGATGTATCATGTAATATCCCTATCCTTATGCAATGGAAGGAGGCAGAGCTAAGCCAGCTGTTGGGGAACTCACCATTGCTACTAGGGGACCTGACAGTCTCTTTTTGTATACATAGTAGTGGTGTGCTGGAGATGGTAGACACAGAGCCGTTGAAGAAGCAGAAGGAAAAAATAGAATGCCAAGACATTTGAAATGGCATGGATAGGCATGAAAGCAACTTTCAGCCAGAAACCAGGATCACCAGTGAAATTGGTGGCAGATTCAGGCCAGATCAAAGGAAGTAGTGCCTCATGGAGCACTGAGTTAAACCATGAACTTTGCAACTGCAGTATACAGTGATGTCTACCAGCTTGGTTGGCTTAAACCTGTTACACATATCCATGGAGGTTAAGGGTATCAGCCATCAATGGCTGCTTATTACCACCAGTATCAGAGGTGATATGCCTCTGAATAATGCCAGTTGCTGGGGAGCTCAAGTGGGGGAGTGCCAGGGAAACAGATTGCTGAACTAGATAGGTGGACCTTTGGTCTGACCCACCACAGCTTTCCTTAAGTTCTCATGAGATGCCTTGTAGTGATGTGATGGGGTACCAGTGTTATATCTGTGAGACAGGGAAAAGGCATGTCATGTCCCATTAATCTGTTCTCAGCTAAAAAGTTTACCAACAAGGGTGGCTACGACTTGAGTGCTGAGAAGGTCATGGAGACAGAAGCACAATGCAATGGCATTCCACAGGGCATTTTTCTCTCTCCCACTGACTTCTCTTTCCAAAAGATGGCCCATTTGCTCACAAAATCTCAACACAAAACCAATTTCTGCTGGGATTTCATCACCTCTATTGAGTTGTTGGAGGTTCTGTTTTTAAAGAATTGGTGCTTAAAGGTAATTTGCATCTCAATTAAGACTCCATTTTATAATACTCTGAGAGAGCCCTACACAGGGCATATTAATATTTCTGGTACTGCAATAGCATTTTGCAGCATGAGGCAGAAAATGAGTGTTACTGGCCATTCCTCCCTCTTTTCCCCCCTGTCTCTCTCACACACAACACACACGCACACACTAGAGACCTCCTGTCAGCTGTGCTTCCCTCTGAAAAGGTTTGTGTCAGTTTGGGGATTCTGGGAATTGCAGTCCAGTGCATCTAGAGGGCATCAGGTTGGGGAAAGCTGACACACAGGATGGGGCTTCCAGTCATTGGGGTGTGGCATAATATAGTCCTCAGAGGTCTGAAAAATATCCAATGAGAATTCAGCATTTTCGCAAGCTCCACATCAGCCAGGGGCCAATCCCTTTGCCTTTCTGTGTTCCCTGCTGCCAGCAACTCCAGCATATGGGCAATCTTGATATTAATGGATTCCTTGCAACCTTTGGTTCCCAAAGACCTGCAGTCGGAGCCTCCTCAGCGGCAGGGAATCTCAAAGGGACCAGGGATGAATAATTAACTAGCCAGTATTGTGAGCTGCCGATGTAATTGATAGGTGTGCAAGTGGCTGTGAGAGGCTGCCAGTCTGAGACAGAGCGAATAACAGGTCCAGATGCATCAAGGAGGGGAGCCCTTTTCCACAGGTAGAGAGATGTGAAGGTGCAGCGTTCTGTCCTGGTCAGGGCAACTGTTGCCACCTTTTATTTTGGCAGTAGCAGAGTCATGCCACACTCCTAGGTTGATTTTTACTCTGCAGTGGAGATGAAACGGCACATTTGTGTACGATCCTCCCCCTTTACAACACCTCTGTTAGCTGACAGAAGGAGAAGCCTACTCATTCCACCCCACCAATTCTTCCACCTTCCTTCAAGCAGATGAGAAGGAGGAAAGCATCTTGGGCAGCATCCCACTTCTCAGCTTTCGCGTCGCAGCAGTCCAGCCGTCAGATAACATCAGCAGGAAATATACCTTTAAGGTCAGTATATGGCTGAGTAGGTGCTCAGAGAGGTGTCCTTTGACATGCGGCTAGAGGTGTGATTGAAAGTTCTGATCCCATCTGGTAGGACCAGAACTAGGTCTTAGGATGATAGCACTTCTCTGAAAGCATATGTCTTTGAATGTTGTTATTAAAGGAGGGCGGGTTTCTGGAGGCTTTGAAGACTGCCAACACTTAAGGCTGTACTGAACTGTTATAACCATTGTTGACTTGAATGGTCAACCTCCAGCCCATAGAGGTCCCCATTCATGGACTTTGCCCATTCGCCTTTCCTCCCCAAGCCCTTCCTTTGGCCTGGAGATGGCATACCAGGGACTTATGGAAAGGCAGGGAGAGTAATCCCTATGCTGATCACAGGTTTCTGGAGACAGTGGACAGGTCTGATGACCAAGGTTAAGGCTCTACTGAAAGTCTAAAGCCACTGCTTACTTTAGGCCAAAGGGAGCCTGGATTTCCCTATTGTAAGACCTCTTCCACAAGGGTTGTTTTCAAGGTGTATATTCATTTGTTGCTTTAGCACTGGAAAATATGTATCATCAGGAATTATCAGGGCAACATAAAAATACTTTCCCAGTGAGAGTTGACTACTTTGTTGAGGAGGTGGAGCATGGCTCCTGGGCATTTGACACTGAACATCAGGAAATCCTGCAGGTGTCCAAAAAAGTAACATGTCTAGGACTAGGGTAGGTTCTCTAGACAGACAAACATGGAATCTAGGCAGGATGAAAATGGGAGCAAATGAGACAATAAGCCTGGGACTAAGAGGAGTTTTCATGCCTGCCCTATGCCACTCTTGCCTTATCTTGGACCTCAGATAGGAGAAGGGAAGGGGTTAAAACAACTGTTGTCCTTCTTCCCTCCCACTCTCTCTGTCCCTCTGTCTCTCTCTGCAACCAGAAAGCCCTCCAGCTGATTCTCTTTGGCTTGTGCCTGGCTGCTTCAAAATGGCTATCTACAGGCCTGGCGGGAAACTGCCCCCCCACCCGCATCACACCCAGTCGTCCTGAAGACAAGAGCAATGTAGTAACTGCAGCAACAGGGCACTGCTTTCCACAGCCCCCCCCCCCCCCCCCCGGCTGGCCTTGGTTTTGGTACTGCTGCTGAGGCAGCCAGAGCATTGATACATCCTGTGCCTGGCAAACCTTTGCCTGGTTGCTGGCCAAGATGGGTTACCATGGCGGGGCCTGCAACCAGGTCTAAGCTCCATCATGGACAACAGCCTAATATCTATATGGGCAGGAATCAGAATGCAGCAAAACTGTACTGAGGTGGACTGTACCAATCCTGCGGCAATTGCAGATTTCTCATTTGAATGTTCCTTTATGTGCAATGCAGCCTGCAAGTGGAAAGTTAACACATTAGGACTGATCCTGACATTCCCATTGGTTTTGGACTTAGAAAGAATCCCCATGCCCAGCAGTGTTAGAAAACAGTCCTCCAGCAGCAGCCTCAAAGTGGTACTGAAGTCCAGGAATGTGTATGAACTAGTTCTACAATACTGCCAGGGATGGAACAGACAAAGCTCACGTACAAAGTGAAGCATAAGCAAAGTGCAGACGTCTGGAAGCTTCTGGGAGCACCTGATGTAAAGCCTGCCTAGATTTGCAAAAGGTCAAGTTCAGATAAAACAGTGAGCAACAGGTGGGCCGAGACACTGGAATAATCACAGCTGCAGGTGTTTGGCTAAAGGATCCTACACTGATATCTTAATGAAATAAGAACACAGAGAGAATATCTGGAATCCCTTTCTTGAGAGTTGTTATTAAGAATGCCAATTGTCTTTATGTAAACTACTCAATTATTTTTGTTCTTTCTCTAATATGAAGCAACTCAGTAACACCTCTTTTTCTTTTCATTGCCAAAGTTTTTGTTTGCTTGCTTTAGTTCTAGCAATGTTGTAACATTTTGTCAATCTTCATCCTGTATAGTGAAAGGACTGAAGTTGCTATCTTTTATCCACTTATCTGGCAGTAAGGGCCATCGAATTCAGTGGGATTTATTTCTAAGTAGACATGCAGAAATTGTAAGAAAAAACACTGCGAACCTGAAAGTACCGAGTTCAAATCGTGCTTCAGCCATGAATTCACCTCAGTGGCCTTAGGCAAACCACGTTCTCTCAAGACTCAGTTTGTCATCTGCAGTATAGAGATGATAAGTCTTGACCTACTTTCCAGATTGTTGTAAATGTATGCTGAAATGCACATAAAGTGCACAGAATTGTTCTTATTACCGTTGATAAGGATAGTGACACTGATAATGACATTTTAGTGGAAGAAGGTATCTTTGAGATCATCTAGTCCAACCCACTGCTGAATGTAGGATTTGCTATACAGCTCCTGCTATATAGCTCCTCTGACAAATCCAGAGTGCGCTTAACCTCCAGTGCAGGAACACTCACTACCTCCTGAGATACCCACCTTCCACTGTCAAACAGCTCTTACCATTAGGAAATTTCTCCTATGGTTTAGCCAAGATCTGCTTTTCTCCATTGTCCAGGAGGAGGAAAATGGATTTACCCCTAAATGATCAGGTTTGTCATTTGGATGTACTCTTGCCACTACAGGCATTTGTGAACTCGGAAACTGCTCTGTGCCTCTATCAGCCAGGGCTGATATTCCCATTACATCCTTATCTGGGCAAGGATAGAACAGCTACAGTTATCCATGCTCTGGTTACCTCTCAGCTGGTTTATTGCAATGCATTATATGTGGAGCTGCTTTTGAAAATGGTCCAGAAACTTCAGGTGGTCCAAGATAGGGCAGCAAGATATAGTTAACAAAGACCAGGCAGAGTAATCATACTAGGTCGGTTGGTTCGTTCGTTCGTTCGTTCTTTCTTTCTTTCTTTTAGGAAGCTTCTCTGCCGCCCCATTCACCGAAGCCTCGGGGCGGCTCACAACAATAAATAAATAATCATAATATAAAAACAATATAATTTGAGACGACCTGGCCAGAGATATAAAATAAATAAATAATATTAACAATTAAAATGATGTTGAAATAAAAAGGTCTTTGCCTGCTTTCCATCTGTTGGATGTTAGACAATTTCTAGGCCTGTTTGAAAGTTAACATTCAAAGCCCTAAAAGGCTTGGGTTCAGACTATCTGAAGGATCACTTCCTTATGTACCTGCCCAAATCCTAAGTTCATCCTCAGCTGTCCTTGTCTGAGAGCCTCTCCCAAAGGAAGTGAGGTGGGTGGCTACTAAGAAGAGGTCCTTTTCTGCTGTGGCATTCCAGTTGTGGAATGATCTTTCCAGGGAGGCTTGCCTGGCAGCTACATTGAGGTCTTTCTGGTGACAGTCTTTCAGTCTCTGTTGCTTTTAATCCTTTGCTGCAATTTAAAGTAATACTACTACTATGTTTTACTACTTTGGCGTTCAGTTTTATATATAGTATTAAACTTCTAAATTGTATGTTCTGTTGTATACCTGATGGCCTTCCAACTCTACTATTCTATGATTTTGCAGTTTTAATTGTGCACTGCTGAGAGAGTTATTAGTTATCACAGAAATGTAGTACATGCATACATACCCCCCTGGCAGCATTTCTGATCCAACCTCATTCTGAAGCTCCTTGTAATGCAGGTTCAGGGAAGCTGGAAGAACCACCATCCATTTCTTCTGTGGCACTGGCAATCTGCATTAGGGAACGTTGCGGCTGCTGCAACAGCAGCAGATTTGACTTTCTTACATTCTTTCCACGAGGTCCCTGCAGAGCTGCTGGGAGAGCTGTTCGCGCTTTTGGCGCTGAAGTCTTGCAGAGGAGGGAGGATTGGCCCAAAGGGAGAAGCACGACAGCTAAAGTGCATTAATTCTGGATCCTTTGCCGCAGTCCCTCAAGCTTGCTGAAGGGACTTTGAAGCTGCTTCTGAGCGTCATCCTCTAAGGAAAAGCATGTCTTGTTGACTGATATATTTACTGGAGAGGCTGTGTACAAGCCATAAAATGTTAAGAGCCACAGGGGCACCTCAGCTTCCCATTGATCAAGAAAGCTGATCCTGTAATGATCCTTGGGAAGATGGCCAGATAAAAGATTGGAGATAAGATGGGAGTGTTAGCACATTTGTTGGGAGCTGCACTGTATATCTGTGGGGGTGGGGAGCCCTTTGCTTCCTTGTTAAAAACTTAAACTTGTTTTGTGGCCTTTTGCAAATGTGATTTCATTTTCCAGGTTTTTTTAAAGGAACATTGTGGCAGAGTTTTGTTGGGTGCTGGGGAAAGCATCTTTTGCTGAGTGCGCCACTTTTCCTCCTGTTCCCTTTTAAAAGGCTAACACAAGGGCTCATATAGCACAACAGGTAATGTTGATCTTAGGAAGTATGTAGATTGTTAAAAAAATTATGTTCAACATAGCTTGCAGGGCATGGGGAAGAGAATATGAAAACATTTCTCTGTTATTAAAAACAAAGTCATATTATGTCTCAAGCTTTCTTCTTTTCCTCCTCCTCCTCCTCCTCCTCCTCCAGCATAACCTTTTGTGTCACTGTTCACTTCAGTAGATGAATCTGATGAAATGGATAGTGTGCATTACTCTTTAAGGTGCCACTTAACTACCTTTCTGGAAATTGGTCAGATATTAGTTTGTCTGCCAGTCTGTCTATCTATCCATCTATCATCACATGTGTTTCTTGCTGTTCTTATGAGGTATTCAGGGTATCATGCATTATTAGTCTGAAAGGTGGTGGGTTTGCATAGTTCTGGGTTTGAACCCAGAAATTCATGGCACAAGTACAACACTGTAACTTCTACCTGACAAAGATTCAATTTCATACTTTCTAGCTAATGTTGTTGTTGTGTTCCATCAAGTTGTCCCCTACATATGGCAACCCAATGGATGAAAGCCCTCCAAAATGTCCTGTCCTTGGCAGCCCTGCTTGGCTCTCGTAAATTCAAGCCTGTTGCCTCCTTTGTGAAATCAATCCATCTCAACATTGGTCTTCCTCTTCTTCTGTCTTTGACTTTCCCTGTCATGCTAGTCTT